GGACTCTACTGCCTCCGCCCATCTATGGGTCAGGTAGACCAGAAGATCACCAGCTGATCGACCCCGACGAAAACCGTATAGGCGGTCACTAATCAGCTGGTGATCCTCAAGGTACCCCACGAGCTGGCAGTTAATAATGGATTCCATTATTTTGGAGAACATGAAGGTGATGGCGATAGGCCTATAGTTGGAGGGGTCTGAGCGGTCGCCTTTTTTAGGGATCGGGTGGACAAAAGCTGTCTTCCATGAATTCGAGACTCCGCCTTGGGAGTAGGAGTACCGGAAAAGACGCGTTAGGACCGGTGCCAACTCCGGAGCACACGTCCTCAGCACAATTGGGGGGATTCCGTCAGGCCCACTCGACTTCTGAATGTCCAGGGAGATGAGTGCTTTGCTAACCGAGCGCTGTGAGAACAGCACATCCGGCATGGAGCACTCACACCGTGGGATGGTCGGCGGTGTTTTCCCCATGTCATCAAGAGTCGAGTTGGACGCAAAAGGGAGCCTAAAAGGTCGGCTTTGTCTTTTGCGGCATGGGCCAGTGAGTCGTCCTCCCTGTGCAGAGATAGTAGTGATGGCTTACAGAAATTCCCTTGGACAGCCTTGGCGAGAGACCAGAATTCACGGGTACCCGAAGGAACACGAACTAGTTTCTTGCCAATTCTGCCTATGTGCTCTGACTTTGCCTTGGCAATAACTCTTTTGAAGGACCTGGAGGCGAAGTTATACTTCTTTTTAAGTGTGCTGGTGTTTACATCCCGAGTCGCCGTAGCCGCAGTCCAGGCTTGATAACACTCCTGCTTACTACGTAATGCAGTCTTACAGGAGCGACCAAACCAAGGCTGAGATCTGCCGCCGATGGAAACCACAGATGATGGAATAAATAGTTCCATTCCCTGTAGCACCACATCAGTGACAGAGTCAGCAACAGCGCTGGGATCATTCGGCGAGAAGCAAACCCGCCCCCCGCCCCCAAGGGTAAGATGCAAAGAAAGACCGCATTGCGTCCTAATCCATCGACCTGTAATGCCAAACACGGCGGCAACCTGCAGAACGCAACCGCGAGGGGAGCGTGAGTAGCACCATACTCCGGATCAGACAATGGTCCGAAGAGCCGAGAGAGGCATCGACGGAAACCTGATATCCGTCCGGATGAGAGGTCAGCAGAAGGTCCAACAGGGAAGGTGTATGATCCTCCACATCTGGAATCCGCGTAGGCGAAGTAACCAGTTGTGTCAGACCATATTCCAAGGCAAAATCATAAACAGATCTCCCCGCATGATCGGTTAAACGTGAACCGAGCCATTCGGCGTGGTGGGCGTTAAAATCGCCAAACATCACGATCTCTGCGGATGGGACCTGTTGTAGTAAGGAATCTGTAGCCATTTGGACGTGGTCGATGAGTCGGTCTGTTTCGGCATTACCGCTATGGGACCTATAGAGGCACCCGTAGACGCGCGGATGGTCGTCGCTGTCAACGCGTAGCCAAAGGATGGACAGGTCTGAACCTTCAAGACTGCCGAGGCGTTGAGAACAGATGTCCTCTCTGACATACACGCAAACTCCAGCCCGAGCCACAAAGGATTGCTCCAATTTGTACCCCGGGCAGGAGAGATACGAAGTATCAGCCGGAGAGGACACCTGCGTCTCATCTGCGGTCAGAAAGAGCAAGGCCGGCTTCGCCGTCTCGAGATGGTAGTGGACGGCGTTTAAGTTCGAGTGAAGTCCCCTGATTTTGCAGAAATTCACGGATAGCGTGGCAAGTGTCGCCTTGGTATTGTCGCTCAGTTTGCCCCTTTGTTTGTTGAGCAGTTATGGTGTTTTGAGCGGAATTTTACCCTCCCCCCCGAATACACGGGGCAGCCTGAGCACCCACGCTCAGGAGTGGAATAACATGGTCGTGGATGCACAGCGAGGGATTCTCCAGGGGTGCTGGTACCCTCCTGGGGTAGTCTTACGTGTAATTCCGCTACTATGTTCATGGGGGGGGGGGGGATTGGGCCTCCGGCCACCTGCACTCACCAGACGAAACGCAGAAGCAGAGCTTCTACTTCACGCCGGTATTCTTTGAGGTCGTGGTACCAACCCGGCTCGAGCCGGCCCATACGTGCAACAGCAAAAACTGCCACGTGGCTCTACCACCGTTAAACTTCGATCGTGTTACTAACTCGACTAAGCGCTACCTAACCTGAACTCATTTATTTTGGAAATTAAGTTATGTCCGAAAGTAAATAAAAATAAATTTGAGATACATATTAAGATACTCGTAAAATATTTGTATGCAGGTATATACTATAGCAAGTAGCTATTTCTTTATTGGTACATATATGTCCTTGCGGAGTAATTCTTCTGTAAGTATTCTCGATTCGAAGATGTCTAGAAGCCACCATTTACCATAAGGTGAACTGTGTGCTCGTTTGTGGCCCTTATTCTATAAAAAAATAGGATAACTGAGTTTGAGATTGAGTCATTTCAAGGCAATGTCAACAAATATCATAGCAAATTACAATAAACTATAATAAATAAATATTTGACATTCGTGCTAAATACTCTGTAAATTCAAAGAAATGCTCGCACAGTAAATTCAAAGATACTAAACAAACCTCGACTGTGTACTTACTTTACTTGAATAAACAAAACAGAAACTTTGCGTTGTATAAGGTACCTACAATAAATTACGAAACCTGTCTGCCATCGCTAAGGATCAAGTTTTTTTCATCATCAATAGCAATATTACAATGAACTCTTAACAACTCAGACGAGATTGATCATTTTTTGTCTCGTATTTAATAGATGATGAATGATTTTAAATGCAATTATTAGGGTAATGTCAAGTTATATAGGTATCAGTTTTGTAATTTAAAAAAAGATTTTCATAATGAAGCAAGATAATAGTAAAAATCATTTAGTTGTCATAAATTATTAGTAATTTACTGTTTTTACTTCTTAATAGTCGTTTTTGGTGACGTTAATTCTCTAAGTCAGAAGATTTTGCAGTTTTATCGGATCCAGAGCTTGTTGCATTCTTGCCATGAACTATATACGAAGGGTGATTGATAATGATGATGATATCATAAATGATCAAATATTCGGTACGGATTTAAGTAATTTAGAATGTGAAACAGAACGGAAAAGCAAAAAAGCAGGAGTGACAGAAAACTACGCTCACAACGTAGCTTTGCACTACTGCTTTTTTACTCTACACGATATCGAAAAGATCTGGTGACAAAGATTATTATAGAACTATTAAAAGCTATATAGCACTATTAGAAGCTATGAACTGTGCACCTCATAATATTAAAGGGTGACAAAAAAAACATTTAAACACAGAGAAACTCATACTTGTCCTAACTTACTCCTGATGTAATATGCCTACTTCCACTTCCGATCTTATTGCATAACGTTAATAGCTTATAATATGTTTTTAAATCATGATTTAAAAAAATATGTAATGAATAGAATACTAATTTTAATAATATTAATTTAAGTCACATATTTTTGTAACATCTTGCCTCACACCGCAGAAATAAAATGACAGCCAATAAAACAGCAAAAACGCCTGTTCTAAAATTACAAGCAAATCTGTAAGAAGGATTTGCTTTTGTTGCTTGTAACATTGAAACAAAAGCAATATCTCAACTGCTAGCAAAATATTAACAAATATAATATATAATTCAACTCTTATTAAAATACTACCGACCCCCCCCCCCCCTTACTTCGAATAGCTATTATCATAGGATGTATTAATGTAACTTTATTTAGATTTTATACATAATTATAATCAATGACCAATTATATAAAAAAAATCTTTCTTTTATATAAAAATAACTCCATGATTTTCTTATAAAATATAGCCTAGAACCAGGGACTTGAAACTTTGCTCAAAATAACGTTACGCGTGATTCCAGTAACGATAATTCGTACCTTTCCACTAGGATCGGAACAAAATTAATTCCTTGGCTATTACGATACTAACCGGGACGAAATCTACACATATTTAATAACAATATTAAAAATACATCGTTATTAATATAACGATATTACATGTTTATTAAAATAACTATATAATATCGTTATAAATATGACGATATAATAACGCTATATACAACGTTGCCTGCTATCTAGCTTCTTCACCATGAGCAAAAACTCTTAGACCATTTAAAAATACATATTATGACATTGAGAGCTGCGTCCACGCAGCGCGTCCCTACAAGATTATTACCGAGTGAATCTGTAACGTTTCACCCGTAACAATATTTTAAGGGTATATAGGCATAGCGTTACTGATACCTATAACCACACTCAATGCCTATAATGTAACGAAATTGTTCTAAGAAAATGATATTCTTTGACGTTATTTTTTGTAACGTTATTGATAATTTTAGTTTTAAGTATCGTTACAAACTTTGGAACGTTATGAGATAACATTTAGTGTAACGAAAAGAAATTAATTTCGTTTTCAATTCCCTGCCTAGAACACTCCTGTCGTTGCTCTCTATATTTTCGTGAAGTTTCATTACAATCCGTTCAGTCAGTTTTTATACGTGGTAGAGCCATGCTGCAGCTATATTAGTAGTATAGTTGTAGCATGAATGGGTCGGCTCGACCGGGGAAGGACCACGCTCTCACAGAATACCAGCGTAAAATAGCAGCTTAACACTGCTGTGTTTCGTATGGTGAGTGTACAGAACCGGAGACCCTTTTTACTGGAAAAGAGGCATTCCATCTTAGTCCTCACGGGTGACAACGCATCTGCATTTTAAGTCTTTATTGAGGATAGATGTAGATGTCTATGGGTCACAGTAACCACCTACCATCAGGTGGACTGTGTGCTCATTTGTCACCCTATCCTATAAAACAAAAAAAGTCGTACGAAAATTAACCCTCTCAGATCAATATAAGAATACAGTTATCTCGATATTACAGATAGACACTTTAATTATATTTATATGTACCTTTATTTATTTTATATGTACCTTGTTCTTTTCCAGATACCTAACATGGACATCACAACACTAAGTTTCATTTTCATGTGCCTTCTTTATCATGGTGGGTGTTTCCCGACGCCTACTTACACAACTAAATACGATAATGTAAACATAGATCAAATCCTAGCGAGTGAACGCCTGCTCGCTGGTTACGTGAACTGCCTTTTGGATCTAGGACCATGCACACCTGACGGCAAGGAGTTAAAATGTAAGTATAAAATATTTTTATCGCAACATCTCTATTCAGAAATCTTTTTTTTTATTAATAATTATGAAGTTAAAAAATATTGATTTATCGCACAAAAGTGAAGTCCAATAAAATTATTGATTCGGGAATACTAATTCCCTAATCATTCATTCATTCGTTATTGCCTATTAAAGTCCACTCAACTGCTGCACATAGGACTCCCCATAGATTGCCTCACAAGGGGGATATTTGCCTTAGTTTCCAAACTAGAAAGGCGGGTTTCCAACCGCAGTTTATTACTTTCTAGTTACTAGAAATCCTACTTAATACCTGCTAGAATCTAGTAGGTATTAAGAAGACGCTGCCGATCATCTCCTGGTTTATTTTCTCCTGTCGCCTCTTACGACACCCATGGGACAATATAGGTCATTAAATATTCTTACACCACCACTACAGAAGAAACAATATCAAACGAAACAATTTTCAAGAAAAAAAATTATGAGCAAATTTTAATTGGAATCTATTATATTATTGTCCCACTAGCGTAACATGGGCTTTTTTTGAGTGCGTTCGCTACTAGAGGCAATCAGTATAAAGTGGTAATGAGAATGTTAGGTACAGGTAACTTTTATTAAATGTATAATAATATTAATAAAAACTTTGAAGTGTAATACACTTGGCATGTCTTTTTTTAATTTAAAATTCCGTTCCTAAAGAACTCATCATCCTGAACACCGAAAAGCTTTTTTTTAATGTCAAGCGTATTTATATATTATTTTAATATACGGATAAGGATTTTTGTAAAGAAAAGATAATCAGTTTATTTTAAGTTCCTTAGAGATATTCCTTTACCACCCATATTTTATTTTACTTATTTAAATTCTAAAGAGTTTGTACCGCATACTTACTTTTTTGAACACAGTATTTTAAAATTATTTTATACATTTTTAGATGACTATTCTATTTTAGTATACGAAATCGTACCCCTCATGCCATTGTATAAACTATCATCGATTTTAGAGTAATATAAATTAAATTTACAGCTAATTTGCCCGATGCAATAGCAAACGACTGCAAGAACTGTACTGAACGTCAACGCGAAGGCGCCGATAAGGTGATGCACTATATCATCGACAATAGACCAGACGACTGGAACAAACTAGAACAAAAGTAACGAACAGTACATACCTAATATGTTTTAAATGTTTTACACTATGTTTTGCTCTTGTATTATGCAGGCGTTTTGCATACGTAAATTGTGCGGGGACAAACATCTAGACCTGAAACAATTATTCGAAGGCCATACAAAAATTTGATGCATGCGGGGTTCGAACCCGTGGCCGGGTACCACAGATAAACTATTAGGTACTGCGCTGCTGCCAATTTTATTATAGAAAGTAATAGAGAGTGGAAGACAATAACGTATTAAATAGCGTAAATTATTTCTCCACTCTCAATTTGTTACACACTCCAGTGTGTAATAAATTTATGAATAATGTGCGACCAATGTAAAATGTCTGTGGAAAATTGACAATGGTTTACACCTCCCGCTGGGGGGTGTAAACTCCAGCGAAAACCAAATAAAATTAAAAAAAATATATAGAAACACTTATATGATGTAGAAGTAGTCTAGATAATCCACGTGCAGCTTCTCTTCCTAACGCTCTCACATAAAGTATAAATAGGCTGGGTGACAACATCCTCTTATAGACCAAAAATTTAGTCTTCTTAATTTGTGAGGAAATACTTATTCAGATTATAATGGCCGATTTACACATATCAGAGAAGACACAGTTTCGGTATCGCGTCCACACAGGTCTGAATCAGTGCCAGTACTCAGTCTACAGATCTTCAGGCAAAACGTGTGCGACGTACTGAGGTAACTGTGATTGTTGGTATGGCTCTGTTCTTCTTAACAGCCTATACTGCAGAACATAGGCCTTCGCCAAAGAACGGCTCATTGGGAGGACTTTGTCATAGGTGCCATGCCTGGCAGGCATGTTTACAACCGCAGTTTTATTTTTATTTGAGTTGTTAGCAGGAAGATGCTGCTGCACATCTCCTGCTTTAGTTTCCTTCTGTAGCCTCTTACGACACCCATGGACAATTTGTTGTGGTAGATATTATTAAACCATCACTACACTATACTCTAAGGTTCTGTTCAATAATACGGAACTAATGATGATAGCATTGCTTTAGACGGAGATAAGCAGCACCAAGGAAAAAAGGATATGGGTGCATAAAGCATGGAAATTAAAAGAAACAGAAGGAGAATTTATGACAACACAATGAATTAATTAAAGACTAAGGAAATATTTTGAATCTTTAAAATGTCGGAAACCTCGAAGACCTACAGAAACTAGGAAGAAAATTAGTAAAGAAAGATACTCGTTGGAGAAAGACAGGGGCTTGTTTTTGATGTAGCGTGATTGCCGGTGCCGGCACTGTCACTGAGAGCACCAGTGTTGAATGAATATGAAGAAAAAAGATGCACTAAGCCATTATGAAAATTGCAATATTTTACAAAAATCCGCTTTCTGAAATCCACTAAATTCCGCTAAATTGTATGCTGTAAATGTATATGGAAATAAGAAAAAATGTGATTATTTAAAGACATTTTCATTTATTTAACTAATATTAGGTACTAAAATCAACTAAATTAAACAATTCCACTATATCTTCATATTCATCATCACCTCCAGATGCCGACGATGAGCCTACACCTGCTACTGTTCCTTTTTTCACAGTTGTGGTAATTTTGTCTAGAACATTTTCATTAAGTGTGGCAGCTTTGCTTAAGATTATTTTATTGATGACAATATAATGTAGCTTACTTTTGAAAATGTTCATAACGCTGAAAATCCGCTCTACTTCGGCGTTTGAATGTGAAAGTGACAGCACGCTGATAGCTAAGTCCACTTTCCTGAAAGGCGTTCATCCTAACCGCATTTTTGTATCTGGAGGCTTGGCCCAAAATTTCATTACCTTTTTACTTGAACAATTTAATTTCATGTCATTTGCTCCCACTCAGATCTATATTTCTGAATAAAAGTCATCTTTCTCGGTGGCACCTCCATTTAACATGTTTACGAAACAAACAAAACTGAGCTAAAAGACTTACACGAAACTTTAAAATGAGAAAAACCAGTTCTTCTCAGGTATTAAAACTTAGACGATTAATATAATGAAAAGCAAAACAGCTACATAATACCATAATGTAAAAGCAACATTTTGATCGGGGAATACCCAAACGATCGACTCGATAGTTTTTTTTTTATCACACATTGGGTTGCTAACTAATCAAATTTCCGCCAGATGCCACTAGATATGTTTTAGCGCTCAGATATTAGAAAAGTGCAGGTTCGGCCACACGTGAAATACTGTTCCGTGACTCCTCAGTGCCAGCTCCTTCCACTTGACCGCATCCAGCGCAGAGCGCCTCGAATCATCGACGACCGAGTCCTCTCCGATCGGCTCGACTTACTGGCGCTGCGAAAATATGTTGCATCTCTTTGCATTTTCTATCGCATCTACCACAAGGGGTACTCTGAGAGATTGTTCGGATTAATTCCAGGCGCCAAATTTCACTAACGCACATCGCGACAAAACTCACGATACCATCCACACCATCTGGATGCTTGGCGGTCAACCACTGTACGTTCTACTAGAAGTTTTCTTCCTCATACGACCCCTCTGTGGAATCGTTTACCACCGGCGATTTTTCCGGATCGACACGACTTAGGCACCTTCAAGAAAAGAGCATACTCCTTTCTAAAAGGCCGGCAACGCACCTGCAATACCCCTGGTATTGCAATTGTTCATGGGCGGCGTTAGTCACTTACCATCAGGTGAGCCGCATGCTCACTTGTTGGTAAGTGACTACTGTCGCAAAAAAGCGCTATAGGCCCTAGAATCGCATTAGATCTAGCGCCAAATGCGCTAAAACGGTAACACTGGAGAGCACTGTGTCATCACTGACACTGACAGTAGATGCATTCATGAATGAAAGAATAATATCACGCTGGCGGTACTGTGCCGGTACTGTGACTTCACTGATGTGTGAATCGGCCATAATACTGTGATTGTTTGTGACACTAATCCAAAATAAAATTAGTAAATCATTTACATTATTTAGTAATTTTTTACTTGTGTTGTTCCTACATGCTTTTTGCATTGCAGCGCATAGAACATTTCTAAGACATATGTTGTGATTATATAATGTATTTCTGGTAACGAGGTATTTCATATTAGTCTTGAGTCCTGAGGATTGATAATGCACCAGTGCATTGTAATTCTAAATTAAAGATAGATATTCTATATGATTATGGGACACAGCATTCACTTACTATTAAATGTTAGATGAATTGTGCGCTTTACACAAAGATACTAAAACGCAATGTCACCCGTTTTGGTATCTTTGTGAATTCTATGTCTACTCTAAAACGATATCGCTTGATTTTTTTTCTCTTATTGCAGATATGAATCTGATGGAAGTTACAAGCGGCAGTATTTAGAAAGTAAACAAATTACTGAAAGAAAAACTGAAGAAAAGGATATGAACTCCAGCCAAATCAACAGTGATAAAAACAAGGAATAATTATATATTGAACTATGATATTGAATTGTAATTGATTTTAGATGGGCAATAAAAACCTGTATTAAAACTGGGACACATATTTGAATGTTAATGATCTGCTTCGTTTTCAAAGTTAAACTAGTGTAGCATTTTATATATCAAAATTAAAGTGATTAATAGATTTAGCATGGGTTCGATCTTATTATACTCGTTTCTTTAACTTTAGTGAATGACCTCATTAGCTTCGATTGTTATTAGTTAGTAATATACCACCTACGTTTAACCACTATACCACGTATTAGGTACCAGAAGCTATTAACTTAGATAGTGACGGAAAGCAGTATCGTAGCTGTTTCGTATGGTGAGTGTAGAGAACCGGAGAGCCATGTTACTGGAAAAGAGGCATTCCATCTTAGTCCTCACGGGTGCCGACGCATCTGCATTTTGATACTTTATTGAAGATAGATGTAGATGTTTATGGGTCACAGCAACCACTTACCATCAGGTGGACTGTGTGCTCGTTTGTCACCCTTATCCTATAAAAAAACTTACGATTGATTAAGATATCAAGAAAAGGGAAGAAGTTACAGCATCTTTGCAATATATGAGCAAAAATAACCAGCATGACTAACAATAACCCAAGCAAAAAACCCTGCTTTCTCTAACATACATACCTATATGCATCAGGAAGTCTTTTTCTGCCTAGGAGCCACTCTGGGTAGGTACGACTCTCTTACTTTTTTCGCCAAATAGCAGTGGCTGCGAGGCATTCCATCTTAGTCCTCAGAGGTGAACACGTCTGATCAACGTCAATCTGTAAGCGTCCTTGAAGTTGGCGGCATTTGTCTATGGACTGCAGCAGCCACTTAACATCCGGTGAACTGAAGTTAGTTTATCACTTGAGTTTTATAAAAAAAATCACAATTTTGGCAAACTTTTTTATGCCTTTTCTTTTTTATTTTCTTCTATTTTTATTTAGTTACTTTTAATATATATCTTTAAGATCTAGTTTAAAGATTTGGATTGATTTTATATTTTACAATTTAAACAGATCAAAATAGCTTACGCATATCATGTCTAATAATAAATAAAAACCAAACAAATACATCATAACTTTATTAATTTGTATACGTAAGACAATATATAGTTTGTCACATTTAAATAAGAATCTAAGGATTCGTCTATAGAGATTTTTTTCTGTAAAACATTCAATAAAATTACGTTCCTAATTTAGTTAGAAAGAAAAATAAAAACATAAAAAAGCCATTTACAAGTTTTCGTAACATGTGACAATGCTCCACTGTGATTATTGCATAACTTAAAACTTGTATATAATTTTGAAAAAATATGATATTTAAAAGTCCGTCAATTTAAAAGTCTCAAGGCTGGCTTCCACTCACTTTTGATATTCTTTAAGAGCAGAAAGAATCTGCCGTTCTGACCTAAGTATTATTGGGAATCATGTCGTCAAAATATATATTTAATAATATTCATTCAAGCAAATTTGCCCACCTTTACTACCCATCACATGATAAATCAATACTTAAAATGATGACTCGATTTTAATGTCGCCAGCGGATATCGATTTGAACTCGGTTTGCTTGCTTTCTATGGAATTTTAAGTGAACTATAAGTCCCTGACTAATCACAACTCTATATAATACGAAACATACCACTAGTCTAGCCTCATAGGTATACAATAATACAAATAATTAAGCATTGAAAATCAAGTAATTCCAGTAATAAAGACGTGCGGTAGCTGCAAAAGAACAAACATCAGCCCATTTAGTCCCGTGGCTGTCTTGAGCTCGTAAGTGTTTTGTGATGAGTGAGAGTGACTTCATACTTCTATTTTACACAGTGAATTACATATTCACTTAAAGTTTCTCCATTTGATACCTCTTCACTCTAACCTTAGCACCTGGTAATATATATCTGTTATTTGAATCATGTATTTCTTGAGGATGTCCTATTATTTTTAATCTGAGTTTTTTTTGCCTTTGAAAACTTTTTTGAGACTTTATCAATAACGCACACCTGCAAATTTATGAATGATGGGTACAAGTTCGTAAATAATTATTTAAGTTTTTTTTTTAATACATAGTATTTTGCTAGACTCCATACCTCCATACTAGCCAGTTATCCTCTGAAATTTTTGACGACTGTCGTACCTGCTGCGAAACGTTTTCCAGGCAACAGGATCATGGGCCATCATGGACGCTATCACTTTCCCTGCGTTCTTTTTCTCTTCCGCTGAACATTTTGCACAGTCATTTTTCATCGCTTGTATTAATACCCCTGGAATAAAATTGTTTTAAAGACCACAAACGAATATTTTATAAATTATTTAGAGGATCTTCATAGCATTCATATTTAAATATTATTATTTTTCTTTAATTATTTTTCTTCTTCTTATAACGTTACCTCCACACTAGGATTTTCTCCTGTATCGTGGGATCAGTTTACATACATAAATTTCACAAAGACAAGCATAATACCCGGAATAATTATTTGTTAGCCATACAAATACTTATTCCGTGCGGGATTCGAACATGCAGCCCTTTGCGCTGCAACTCATTGCTAATCCACTGCATCACGGAGCCGTCAATACTTTAATCATATCAAAGATTGGATATAAATATTATAATATATTAGGACAAATATTCAACAGTTCTGAATTAAAATAGAAAAAGAAGAAGAATATAATAAGAGAATAATAATACATAAAAATTAGCGATACGCCCCGGTTTCGCACGGGTGATTTTAGGGATCTCAGCAACAGCACCACCTACAGGGTCCAATTGTGAATCTAAGCCAATCTCGAATCAACTTAATTACAAACACAAAATTTCATCAAAATCGGTCCAGCCGAAGTTCAGTCACATACACATGGACAGAAGAATTATATATATATAAAGATATTTCAAATATTAATCTTCAAAAACACAGACGAAGAATTTAATATTACCTATAATTTATTTATGTACTATATTTCAAAATATGTTTCCAATTATTCATATTATCTTCTCTAAAAAAAACACAAATAATAATTAACGCATTTTAATAGACTTTAAATGTTAGTCCTTTGTAATCAACCTAATATTAGAATCGTGAATCTGTTTTACAAAATTCTCTCACCTTTAATTTCATACATATCTTTAGTACAGTGATTATCTGTCGACATCAAGCATTTAACATCTTGTGCTGGTAGTGGCGGGATGGCCTCGTTGAGATTAATCTTGCTTTTCAAACCGTCAATTTTCTCCGTATCCTTAATTACTTCATTGATGTCCATCATGTCCTCATCGCCGTACACTATTTTATATCCTAGACTTCGTACACCTTCGCTCATGGTCCTATCTATACCGGGTACAGTAACTTCTGTTACAACAATACTTATCAACGTCAAAATCATTGAGATCTTAGACCACATCGTGAAATATTTGCCGATTGGAATTCCGTACTGAGGAAAAACTATGTCCAAACTCAATGGCGGTCGGCAAGGGCAGGGCTTTTAGATGTACTGCGATTGCATGTGATTGAAGACTATTGTTTCGACAAGAATAATTGATGCAATCAATCGACTAGCAGAGGTTATCAACCTAAAGATTGCGCATCGGGATCCGATTGCAAGACGATAGATATATAATACAATCCCATTGTGTTCAAATGTAAGCAAATACAATACAATACAACTCTCTGTATAAACCAAACTCAATTTAAATTGTATAAACCCTAACCAAAAAGTTGCATAACTTGACATTATTTTTATATTAATAATGAAATTAAGTACTTACTTACAAAATTTTTTTTATGATAACTAATATGATGGTATGTATAAGAATATTGTGTTGAATGAAGCTATTCCAATTTTCGTGATTAAAACTAAACTTGAATGACACAAATATTAAATCAAAAACTACCTATAAGGTTCGTTTGTTACCCCTGACACTTAAGTATTCGGGGCGCGCGTGCCACAGTAAACAACAAACAACCTTCACTTGAAATGCATACCAATTGAAGTCAATAGTAAACATGAATGCCGAACTATTGCAAATTTCACCGAAATATGTTTCTCACGAATTTTTCGACCAAAATCGTTATACATAGACTCAAATTATAGCTGTAATGGCTGTAGCACGAATTCACCGGCTCGACCAAGGAAGGACCAGAGTGATAGAATATCAGCACAATGCTGCTTTTTTCGTACGGTGTATGAACCGCAGAGTGAACCTTTTTTTCTGGTAAATAGGTATTCCATCTTCATCCTCAAAATTTTGATTTTTAATCGATAATCGATAAAGGGACGAGCGCTAGTCCACAGAATCCACTTACCATCGACTGTACTGTGTGCTTGCTTTTCACCCTTATTTGTAAAAAAAAATATAATCCTCAAGACACATCCGACTAGCCTGAATTGCTAATTTAAATATAGATATCGACGCCCCGAACAAATAGTCGGTAATACGTTCTGCTAAACGCCGATATATCCATAGCAATATAAGTAATTCTTCGTGAAAATTGTGGGTAAAACACCTTCTCTGGATTGTGGTTCATCTTTCACTCATCATTTCTCACAACGTTTTGAATCTTTATTTTGCTTCTGCTTTTGCATTGGACCTTTCAATCTGATGAACAGTTGCTTATATAGCTTCAATTCTCCTCACATACTAGTCTTTCTTTTTAACCTTGTTGATCAGGATGAAATTTGAAAGAGTCTTGGCGAGTCGATATTGGCAATCAAATCCGAGGCTGTCAGTTGCAATGACATTAGTAGGATCATGATTGCCAATATCGCATATACTCGTAGAATACATTCTCCTCGCAGTCACACACATTTTTTTGCCTTTACTCGGGTCAGTATCCGACTCAGTGGAAAAAGGCTTTCGTAAGACCTCTTCCTAATGTTTCCATTCCTACTCTTCCTAGTAATTTCCTTCCCTAATGGGAAAGAATGCCAAAAGGTATTAAGTTCGCCTTTTGTAATCCTTTTAATTAAGATGTAAAATTAAGTCTGTGTGTGTGTGTGTGTGTGTGTGTGTGCGTGCGTGTGTGTGTATGTGTTTGTGTGTGCGTATGTGTTTTGTCAAACTCAATATTTTAATCATTAATAACTATTAGTGAAAGAGTTTTTGTATACTTCATTTTTACTTTCTTTTTCGTAAAAATATTAATGTTTCTTTAATAAGATATGGATGACAAGCGAGCACCCAGTCCACCTGATGGTAAATGGTTACTGTGGCCCATAGATATCTACATCTATCCTCGTTTGCGAGTTAAAATGCAGGTGCGTTGTCAGCCGTGAGGACTAAGATGGAATGCCTTTATTCCAGTAAAAAGGGTCTCCGGTACTCTACACTCACCGTAGTATTAAACTGCTATTTTACACTGGTATTCTGTGAGAGAGTGGTCCTCCCGCCTAAGGGTATTAGTGTTCTGTGGTGGTCCTTCTCCGGTCGAGCCGACTCATTCGTGCTACAACTACGAGTATACTATATTACTAATATAGCTGCAGCATGGCTCTACCACGTACAAAAAAATTGGTTATAAGTGCAACACATCTGATTTATTGGTGAGTTTTTGGTATTTTAATATTTTGTATGAAAGTGAGAGATGGAAAACAATTTGCTATGTCTTGTACGATATATGGGCGTGAAGAAGCTGACAAGTCCAAGTAAACGCGAATTATCTTAACGGCCGTGCATGAGGTCATATTGATATACCTTCCATTGAGAGGAATTTCTGGTATACACGTCTGTCTTTTAATGTCTAATGTCGCTCTATAATTTTGTAGTCCATGAACTTTAAAAATTTATTTCATAATAATTCTATTTTGTCTATATATGTATGATATCGTGGGCACCTTATGTTGCTACCATATTCTAATATACTGCGAACGTAGTCACCGTATAGAAATTCAATACGGGGTAAGTTATAAAAGGGTTGGCATGTTTGTATTACGAAGCCTAAGTTTCTGTATCCTTTATTTGTGATACATATATAATCAATATGATAACTAAATGTAAACATAAAATCTTAAAAGATACCAAGGTTTCGGACTACCTGTACCTACTTTTTGAATTATTGATCCATTCAATCTGTATGCATATTCTACCGATTCAGTTTTGCGTGTAAATGTGCAAGTTTGACATTTCTTGTCATTGACAGTGATTCGATTGTTTTTGAAATACCTAATGGTTCAGCCTGTTTAAACTTCGGGTAGAATCTACTAGTTAGTCTGTGGTTTAAACCTTCTTGAAGCTTATAGCAGTCGTGTAAATTGTTCATTTAAAAAAATATATTTTTATCATCTGCGTCACTGACCTCTATATATGGACTGGCTATAACCGTGACATAATGAGGCGATTTGATTTTCGCCATTTTGGCGCTGGCAGCATAAGTGAACGTCCACGGAACTAATAATAGAGATAAGACGGTGTGAAAAAATATATCGATAAGAATTCTATACCCAGGCCTACCCGTAACATCCATTCTATCTATGTATCATATTAATATAATACCATACAACAAATAAATGTATCAATTAACACCTAGGACTTAAACGCAAGATTTATACTTCATATAAAACAAGCCATTGTCATGTAGTGGCGGTTAAGAATATCCACTACTCCATATCTTCCCGTGGGTGTCGTAAAAGGCGACAAAGGGAAACAGACAGAAGATGGGAAGCAGCATCTTCCTGATAACAACAAATTTACAATAAAAAAACTGCGGTTGCCAACCCGCTCACCAAGCGTGGCAACTATGGCAAATACCCCCCAATGATTAAAGCAACAAAAAGACGGCCTCCAGTCCCCGGCGGCCCCGCTATTCCTGGCTACGGTGGCGACCATGGTAACGGCGGGGCAGGGGGTGCTGAGAATCTCCGGTGGAGGTTCGGTTGCCACCTAAGACGACTCGACCTGGCAACATACAACGCACGCACCCTGAGGACTGACGAGAAGATCGTGGAGCTGGAAGAAGAGATAGACAAGTTACGCTGGCATATTATAGTACTATCCGAAGTCCGAAGAGAGGGGGAGGACACGGTAATCCTCGAATCCGGCAACTTGCTCTATCACCGGGAGGGCGACCAGCTGTCCCAAGGAGGTGTCGGATTTATCGTCCACAATTCTCTCGTTAACAACGTGTAGAGATTGAGAGTATGTCGACGAGGGTTGCGTACCTTATACTCAGAATCACCAAACGGTATTCGCTGAAGATCATACAGGTTTACGCACCAACCTCGGCACACCCCGATGAGGAGGTGGAGGAAATGTATGAGGATATCTCTAGAGCCATGCATTCCTCCAAAACCCACTATACGGTGTTAATGGGAGTCATCAATGCAAAACTAGGCACAAGAGAGAACGGTGAGCTGAAAGTAGGGAAATTTGGAATAGGGCAACGGAATCCAAGGGGCCAGCAGCTGGCCGACTTCATGGAGAAAGAGGGACTCTTTATGATGAACTCTTTCTTCCAGAAGCGGCCTCACAGGAAGTGGACCTGGTCGAGCCCTGACGGTTCCACAAAACATGAGATTGACTTCATTATGACGACCAGACGACAATTGTTCAGTGATGTCTCCGTGATCCGCGATCACCGAATGGTTAGAGGCACACTGAACCTAAACGTTAAGTTAGAGAGGTCTCGTCTAATGAAGTCAACGCTCCGTCCCCCTCGTGCTCTAATCCAAAGTCCCGAAACCTTTCAGCTCGAGTTACAAAATCGTTTTCAGTGCCTAGAAGATTGCAATTCAGTCATCAATATAAATGACAAGCTCGTGGAAACTGTCAATGCGGTCGGAGCTGAGTTTTGCAAGACCCGCCGCAGAAGAACACAAAAACTCTCCGATCACACTCTTAATCTCATGGCTGTTAGACGGGAAATGAAGCTACATTCTTCAACAGATTTGACAGCATACAGGCAACTGAACAGACAGATCTCAAAATGTATGCGGTGGGACTTACGCAACTTCAATACAGCTTGTATTGAAGAAGCGATCGAGCGGAACCAAGGCTCCAGTCTTTGCCAGAGATCTATCTGCCAGAAAGAGCCAACTGTCAAAGCTGAAGACCGAGTGTGGCAGCATCGTTTCCGGGGCATCTGAGATTTTGAGTGAGATTGCTCGCAATCAACGATGACGTGTACAGCTGCCCATAGAACCTCTGTTCTATGGACAGCTGTACACGTCATCGTTGGAGCCACACGCAAGTGTGAGTAACGATCCAAGAGTGAGTCTTATCCGACACTATTCCGAAGATATCCCGGACGTCAGTCTGAGCGAGATTAGAATGGCTCTCCAGCACCTTAAAAACGGCAAGGCCCCAGGCGAGGATTAAATTACAGCGGAACTTCTGAAAGCGAGTGGAAGACCGGTACTTGATGTCCTTCAGAAGCTCTTTAATTCCGTCTTCCATGGTGGCATTATAC